GCAGCCAGCCAGTCAGCCAGCTCCAACAGGAACACCCTCCCGTCCGGGGTAGCACCCTCTCGCCCGCGACTTGTTCGCTCAATATCTGGTGAATGCGTTGCGGGAGTGAGAGAAAACCGAACTGGAAAAAGAGAGCAAGAGAGAAAGAGAGAGAAAGAGAGAGCGCGAGAAACAGAGGGGCGAAATTTTAAGGGAGGACAGGTAAGAGAGCTCTGCAGGGAGCAGAAGAGGGGATGATAGTACTTACGTTATAGTCACGGAGAATCGCAAAAAAGATGTCTCACACCTTTGTACATTTATTTGTACATCTATTTGAAATATATTTGGTTAATTTCACGCGAAAATATTAAAAAACGAGGGACCATAGCTCGATTATATGAACGAAAGCTCTTTGCATCACAATTACGATCCTTAATGAGATTTAGTAATTCCGCATTCGTCAACCTCTGAGGGCTTTAAAAACTATCACCAGCGCTTCTATTCGCGTAGAACTTCGCTTCAACGAACTTTTAATGGGGTTGGAGGCGAGGATACCTAAAGTTGAATGTTAAAAGTAGCGAAACGAGATGAAGTTTGATCGAATTTGTAATTTTTAATGTTATATATAATACCTTTGTAACTAAACTTCAAATTGAAATTGTAAGATGAAAGGAACAAAGATTCAATACAACATTAATTTATTTTAATAACGTCTTATTAAGTCGAGCTTAATAAAAGTAATAATAAATGATTAATAATATATACAGTAATAAAAATCAATAGAATAAAAATCTTAACAAAATAAAATTTATAAAGTAATATCGTGACTACATATTTGTATTAAGTATTTGAAAATGGCTCAATGGAGATGCCGAAATATGTAATATAAGTCTTATACATATTGTTCTGAAATGTTTTAATCTATATAACGAACATATTATATAATTAATCTTTTTATACGTTTAATTGGTTGTTTGAATCTTATGTGCTTCTTATTTTTGTATTGTTTTTTGAAAAAACTAAGAATCCTGTATTTCTTGTTATTTGATGAAATTTATAATAAATAATAACAAAAATAATTAAATTTCGAGAAATTATATCTCATAGAATGAAATATATTTGATGTGTGCCTTATAGCACAATTTACTTGAAATTATTTTAAAAAGTTTACAAGTTATATTTGTATTTTAGATTTAAACGCACGTATATTTACCACGATATGTAATATTCTAATCAGAACGTGATCTGTATAGCGTCTGTGGATCGCGACATGGTTGTGAAATCATCTCGATTTGTGGCTTGGAACAATGTCGATCATGATTCGCATTCACGACGCGTACACACGTTATATCTACGTATAAATTAATTGCAATTTGCCGTAACCAGATTGCCTGTAAGCTGGCAGTTGTATGGCCACAATATTCCTTCGTAAAAGCTATCGCAACCATAACCAGTAATTGATACGTTTCTGTATCTTGCTTGTGAAATAATATTCTTCCAGCGAGATGAAACAAAGTATTGATCACGGTTGCCACAGGTGTCAAATGTTTTTGTTAGATATTTTATAAATTTTTCAAAGGACGTCAATTTTGATCGTGCTTTTATACACGAGCACAAAGTTTCTACAACGCGAGAGAGAGAGAGAGAGAGAGAGAGAGAGAGAGAGAGAGAGAGAGA